AATTGAACCTGTCATTTACCTAATCAACAAAGATAAAAATAGATCTTCCAAACTATAAAGTTTGAAGGTCTTCGTGAAACACACAAAACAACTTTGAAATCACTTAAAAACACTTGACAACACAAAGAAAGACGAAATGCAAGACCGGCGAACAAAAACCTTCATGAATGGACCTTTCTCATTTTACCTGTGCTGCGCGCGCATCTTGTGGGTGACAGATAATTAAATCGTCAATTTACTGAACACGGTCTGACCCTGACGTATTTAAGCTAACCTCAATAATCAATCAGTATCAATCAATATTGCTGAAAATTAATACAAAAACTGTTTATGATACAATGGTTCAAATGAGTTGAATGAATTCTTGTCAGAATTAGGCGAAAAAGAAGTGAAACCTTTCTTTTCACAAGTTCCCAGGCAATCAAATTGTAAGAAAATAATAGTTAGGTGCTCTCAACCCGAATGAAGACGATTTAAGTTGGGACAGAGATTTGAGGGTTCGTAAAATAACGATTTTTATATCAAATACAATAATAATGTACAATTAAAGGTTTGCTGCAAACATTTTTGCTGCGGTGGGTTTTCTTTCTAATTAATGTTAATACGTATTTTGTCATATTTACGTTTAAAAATAAACAAAAACAGAAACATAACCGAAATTGCACAATTTGACAAGTGGAACCAATCAAAGTCATTCCACACAGGTATCGCGCGTCATTATATGTGTCTTTTTCTTTAATGCAGAAATCTTAATAAACTATCCTTGTTGTTCATTGCATGAGAAAGGTCCATTATTAGTTATGATCAAATGAATATTTTGGCATATTGTCATATGTTGACATATCAATGTTATCGACATCGGACGTGTTCTTGATCATACCCCGCGATCTTCAAATGTACCACTTGGTTTGATAAAAAAACTTGTTTCACGCCCGGTAGAGGCGCTACCAATTGTTTGCGTACGCGTTGTTGATTGTATCTCCAAGGTATCTTCGCTTCTGGAGAAGAAGGGTGACGTCATTTCCAATAAAATGACAAAATTACAAATGATGAGAAAACGATGAAGATGAACTGAAAAACTTTGTGCTTCTTGTTGTTTTTTAATATTTCTCTTTGTTAAAAAAGTGTTTCGTATTGTTAATAGAGCGTTATCTGTGTGTATTTGTGGACTTTCACAGTGTTATGTTTAGTGTAACGACTAGGTATTATTGTTATTTAATTCTGTGTTGTTGAGGGTTGACTTTGTTGACAAGTTGCGAAACGCCAACATAACTTTCTTCTTTCTTTGTAATAAACCATTATTTGTTAAATTTGTATCAAATTGTGTCTTTATCATAAAATAAATAAAAAGCAAATCTAAAAAAATTAGAAGGAAACTGCTCTACAAGCTGCTACAATGGGATGAGCTCTTTTCATAGACAACAGATGGCACCACAAATGGGAAAAACCCGTATAACGCGAGTGTCCATTCTATCCCCATTATAAACCTTATTCTATGTTTTTGATGTGCTGATATTTTACATTTCTGTTGTTGTCAGCGACATCTAGAAAAACGGAAAAGAGTTATTATGTGGTTTATTACTGGCAATGAGAGAACGCAGAGCCTGCATACCATCAATTATGATCAGTCATTTAATGTTTTTAATATTTAAAAAATAAAACAAACATGCCAAAATGTGTCATTCACTGTTTTGACGTTTTTACCTGACATGTTTTCATTGTTGCTAGCAAAGGTAAATAAATTAGAGTGAGGGAAATCGGTGAGGGAATTCGAATAGGGAAATCAGTGAGAGAAATCGAAGAGGGAAGTGACACAGCTAAAGTGACACTTCCAAATTTTTGAAAAGTCAGTAATGTCAAGATTACATATATGGCAAATAATAGTATATTACATACCGAGTAGGGAAGTGTTTCATTGCTGTCGAGAGATTAATATAGTCAATCGAGAAGCGAAGCGTCGAGATTGACTATTAATCTCGAGACAGAAATGAAAACTTTCCTCCGAGGTTTGTATATTTTTTTATTTGCAAGCACACCATTAATTATGATTAGTCATTCAATTTTTTTAATATTAAAAAAATAAAACAAACATACCAAAATGTGTCATTCAGTGTTTTGACGTTTTTACCTGACATGTTCTCATTGTTGCCAGCAAAGGTAAATAAATTAAAATGAGGGAAATCGGTGAAGGAAGTCGAATAGGGAAATCGGTGAGGGAAATCGAAGAGGGACACAGGTAAAGTGTCACTTCCAAATTTTTAAAAAGTCAGTAATGTCAAGATTACATATATGGTTGCAAATAAGTGGATTCTTTGGCCTCTTGTGATACCAACGTTCTGCGTGTTATGGGCTTTTCTGCAGGATCATAGTTAACCATTGTTCTCAATTCTAAAATCCAGTTTATGCTTGACAAATATTTTTTTTACATCACATCAAGTCTTTTTCTGATCTATATCGTTTCCGTTTAGTACGCACTAAGGTGCTTTAGCAGCCATTTTCACCGAAATATTTGCCACAGGCCCAATTCGCTTTCGGTACTTCTTGGATGAGTGTCGCCAAATAGTTAAACCATACAGTGTAGTCTAGCTGTTATCATGGTAAAGTTCCGAATAATCAACGGATATAGAGCCAACCCATGACTGTTATTTCTTTATTTCGGGCCGTTTCAGAATAGAATTGAAACGTTTACTTCGCATCCATTGTCAGTTTTAAGAACTTGACTTCTCTGACCCTGTTTTCCGAAATAGTATATCTTGAGTATTGCTGGGTTGATCTCGTTTCTCCAATTAAATCACCATTCTAAAATAAGGTTTATTTTTCCCTAGGCTTTCTCCCTTATCATCGTAGATATCTTTTCTGGTTAAGTGTTTGCGCAGTCATTTGTAAACAATGCAGTCTTCGTTTCTTGTGGTTTCGAAATATCGTGAATATAGATGTTGTACAAAAATATTATGAGAACCTATCATTGGGAAACGCCAGCTTCAAAGCAAAGGTTCTACCTATTAGGCAATTCTGAACGTGCAAACTCGTTGCCCTTCGACTTTAACCGTCATGCCAGACTCTGTCGAAGAGTCATTCGGAATCTAACAAGGCAATGTGATGTCTGGGATTGATAGCTACCTCTGATACTTCGTCTAGGAGTAGCAAGAGGCTGATAGTTCTGTTCTTTCTTGTGGTTCTGCGTCTTTGTGATGCAGTCTTCTTGATTTGCGCCAAACTTGATTTTATTATTGTAGTCTTCGTCTGGATGTTTATTGAGCTAGCATACTCTCACCAATGTGATTGCAAGGGCTTCTTCCTCCTCATAATTAGTGTATGTCATCCTATCTATGCTCACCCTCTGTATGTCTAATTTGACGAAACCGACCTTGAAGATGACCTGTAGTTAGGTCGAAAGCGCTCGGTAAAACTTGATTGAAAAATTTTTACACCATTACAACCTCCGACTTTTTTTTCCCTTTAATTCACATTATTGTACATCCATAACTCCCATCTTCGAAAGAAGTTGTGTTATTTAGAAAAGTCACTCAATTATATTACCAGCGTTTGGTTCATTAGGTCAAGCAATGAAGGAAGTTTACCTCAACATAATTAGAAGTTAATATTTATTGGGGGGGATCGGTCCATTTTTATGTGCTTAATAACATATTAAGTTTGCGACCTTGTACTTCCATATGGTTTTTAATCAGGGGTAGTTTTTAGGGGTAATTTGCGGTTTATGGAGAACGCTGCTCAAAGGGATGGTCCAATAGCAAAAAGTTTCAAATTATTCTTGTAGCTGAAGTTTTTTGCTGTAAAAAACTCAGCGACAGCACCCCTTTATCTTCTATGGTTTTTTTTCTGCAGCGTCTTGAATAGTACCATGTTTTTGTTCAAGGTCACTGAATCAACGTTTCGCTTGTTTGCGCGCATTTGATGCAGCAGCGGCCGATTGTATAATCCGATTTCAATTTTTCAAACACCAGATTATTGCTAATGAAATGAACTCTCCAATGCTTTTTTGTTCGAATTTTTTGCTTGACAATTAAGCGAGCACGGACTTGCCTAATGTGCGAGGAAGTTATAAATTGTATCGAAAACTACCGCTTTTTTGCATTCACTGTAATTTCTAAACGGGGCCAAATATTTGGTGACAGTTTTCGGCAATCGGCAGCCCATTTATTCCACTCATTACGCCCCAGCGGATTTTTTTTTCGTTATTTACTCAATGACTTATTAGCCTGAACATGTCGCGCGGAATTTTTCAAAAAGTCAAAAAAAATTAAAATTGTCGCACAGCGCTGAAATTTTGTACGATGACTTTATTTATTGTTCTCATGAATATACTGCAATTCTAATTATTGCAGCAGTCATGTTAAGCAATTAAAATTGCAGTATATTCATCAGAACAATAATACAATAAAGCCATCATACCAAATTTCAGCGCTGTGCGACAATTAAATTTATTTTTTTTTTACTTTTTGAAAAATTCCACGCCACGTGTTCAGGCCAATAGGTCATTGAGTATGTAACGAAAAAAAATCCGCTGGGGCATTATGGGAGGAATGAATAGGCTGCCGATTGTCGAAAACTGTCACCAAATATTTGGCCCCGTTTAGAAATTAAACTGAATGCAAGAAAGGGGTTTCAACTATAGGCAAGGCGGAGTTTTATATAGCAAAAAACTTCAGCTACAACAATCATTTGAAACTTTTTGTTATTGGACCATCCCTTTAAGCAGCGTTCTCCATAAACCGCAAATTACCCCTAAAAACAATCCCTAACTAAAAACCCTATGGAAGTACAAAGTCGCAAACCTAATATGTTATTCAGCATATTAAAATGGATCGTTCCCCCCCAAAAAATGTTAACTTCTAATTATGTTGAGGTAAACCCTCTTTTCAGATCCCCGTTTCTTGGACTACATGCAATTCAACCCTTAATTGTACTGGATATTGGATTTTAAATTTAAATTAGACAAATGTCATATAAATATAAATAAGGAACCGCTAGTAAAGTCAGCTAGGGGATCACGAGATCCGATCTCGTTCAATCGAGGAATCGACTGTCGAGTCGACAAACTCATTCATGGTGTTCGATCGAATAGAAAATCGAGGGACTCGATTCGATTTTTTTTTTGGAAACGTTCTGAAACTTTGTGAGCAATTGCCAACGACAGGAAAACTGAAAACAGAAGAAAATATATGCATTTTTTGATTACGTTACGAATGTCATGTTTATGTTTCATTCAATTATATCACTTTGTTTGCCCCTGTGTTTTTCCTTAAGTTTTTCTCAAGTTTTTGTGTTGGTGAGTATACCATTTATCTATGAAATGTTCATTGTCTTTTATTCAACATACAATTATTATGAAAATAGGTACAATAAAATGGCTTCGCGACCTACCCCTAAGCACTGGGAAATCATTTTAGATTGGCTGGAGAGAAATCCAGAAATGGTTTCTGGCCGAGGTATAGGCCCTACGGGCAAATCCAATTTGAAAGAAAAATGGGAGAACTTAGCTATAACATTGAACAGCTTGGGTTATACTAACAAATCAGCTGAAAAATGGATGAAGGTAAGTATTCTCCAATTCAAATTGGTAAAGCTCATTACCTACCATTTCACAAATTATTCTTACGAATATTCTAGATCATGAAAGAAATACGTGATGGTTAGCAAGAATATTTATCTTGCTATTAAAACTGTTTTAATTGTTTTATTTCTAGACATGGACTGATTTCAAATGCAATTTGAAAAGAAAAGCTGCCGATATCAAAAAGGAACAAAACAAAACTGGAGGAGGTTCCTCAACATCAAAGGCGTTAAATGAATTTGAAGAGAGAGCTTTGCAACTGCTAGGATCCACATTTATAGGTCTGCAAGTTGGAGAAGTAGGAGTAAGTATCACTTTATATTGCAGGCTATTTTTCTATAGAGATATATAGTTAGTTATTCCTTATAAAAAAAAAAAACTGTTTACGTAAAAACTAAGCACTTATATTATTTTCAGTTACCATCAAATTCAATAGCAAATGTATCGTCTCTCCCACTCAGCATCAGTCCTCACGTCCATCTACTGTGAATACCTGTAAAAATGAGAAACAAGGACCGGATACCAGCATGATATCCAGCACCTCCAATTTACAGGAAAATAATAATTAAAAAAAAAACGATTAAATATATCCGTTGAAGACACCTATGAAGAGACCGTTACCATATTGAAATCGATCCAAATTACATTGGATAATCATCTTGGTCAAATAGCAGAGCAATTGAAGGACATTGCACAATCAAGAAAAGAGCACTGCACATGTTGTATGTCCAAAAAAGGAGATGAGGACCAATTTTAACATCAGTCCTTATGCAAATAGTCAGAAATTTGGGAAAACTTTAATTTTAGATTTTACATGATGGTTATTTTTTTTTAGTATGATGTTAGAGTTTACTAGATTTCCTGTAAAATTTTTTGTTTGTCTAGGTAGTTAATTTTTTTCAGTATTGAATGTTCAATAATATAATATACATACATGAAAATAATAGCATTTATTTTAAATGCACTATAACGCCAATAATATGTCAAGTAGACCCAAACGTAAGCTTTATCATTAGGATGATAGAATTATCTGAAATAATTATTAAATATGAATTCTCTCATATGTTGTCCCTCAGCAGCATCTCCTGGATTAGCACACATGTTCATGTCATCTTCTAAGTCATTGGCTGGCAGGTCAACATTTTCTATGAAGTCAATGTTTTCATCCAAACACATATTATGTAGAGCAGCACAAACTTTAACTAATTTGCAGACAAATTCTGGTTTATATCCCGCTGTCCTTTCTTTTAATAGGCATCGGAAACGCTTTAAGAGTCCGATGCATCTTTCCACAAAATTTCTTGCTTGTATATGTGCTCTATTATAGTTAGCTTCTGCATTGTTGTTGGCAACTCTAAGTGGAGTCATCAAATACGGCAATAGCGGATATCCAAAGTCTCCTACCAACCAACATCGTTCGTTTCCAAATACTCCTCTCAAATAATCATTGATTACTGAATTTCTCCAAATGAAACTATCATGAGTAGAGCCACCATAATTTGCAAATACATTTCGTATCTTTAATTTGTCGTCACATATAATTTGGCAGTTTATCGAGTGATAGCCCTTCTTATTTATGTAGTTATGCTCATCCTGGAAGGGTTTTAAAATAGCTATATGTGTTCCGTCAACAGCTCCAATAGTACCTGGAAATCCCCATTTTTGCAAAAAATTTACCTTCAAATAATTTCTTTCTCGTTCAGTTTGAGGAAACTGTATTTTGTGCGGAACTATAAAGGTTTCAATAACATCTGTTACTATGTGAACATATTTATGCACCGTACTTTGTGCCATACCAAAGTTATATTGTTCTCCTATACATCTTTGGTACGAGCCTGTTTCGTAAAATCTCAAAGCACAGAGGACCATGTTTTCAACTTTAATGCCTCTCACATTCTCTCTTTCTGGGACATGTTGTCTCACTTCCTTTATCAATTCACGTACACAGTTTTTACTTAGACGAAATATTTCTTTGAATCTAATTTCGGACATATCAAAGGGATGATGATGACTTCTCAACCTCTGTCTTCTCCGAAGCAATAGGATATTTTCTCGCCTCCTATTCAACAAAATCATTCTTTCACGCACAATTGCCAGCATATCTTTTATTAATAAATTATTAATTAATCACTTTGAAAGAACTTTGAAGAATTTTAAATGTTCGGAAAATTGACATTTACCTGAAAAAATGATTTTTCGATAGCTTGGAACTAGTCGAGAAACTTCAATAGAGTCGAGTCGATAATTCGAGTGTCGTGATGCATTTTAAGTCGACTATTGACATTTTCGATCAATTTCAATCGAGATCGAGTCTCGTGATCCGGGCCCCAGGTTAAGGTAGGATTTTTAACTATCCGGCATTGCAGTATGCGGCAGCGGTGTGCGGTATTGCGATGTTGCGGATATCGCAACCCGCATGCTGGTGGCGGCAAATTTATTTTATAAATGTCAGGAAAATATTTTTGAAGTCGCGATCAAAACATGGAATCAGCTACTCGTCGTATTATTGCTGCGATTCTTTTGCTGGAAGAAGATGAAGAAGAAGAAGCCTTATTTCACTGCTGTGAAAATCGCAGTAAAATTAATACTTCCAATTCATCTCTTTTATGCACTGCCCTGTTACTAAAAATTGGAGCACCTCCTTTTCATTTTTGACTACCAGAATTTGTACACAAGAAGGAGTGTATAACATGTTCATTGAACCTCACTTGAATGCAATGGCTGCAAGAACAAAACTCAAAACTGTAGTATTTTGCCAGGTCGTGGGGCGTCGCACGCTACTGCGGTGTCGTCGAAAAATATTTTGGAGTTTTTCAGCGGCACGCCGCAAAGAAAGCATGCGACGCCGCAGTGCCGTTGCCGCATAACACATGGTAACAAAACAGCTCGATGTTACAACATGGTACGCAACTCACCGGCACGTCGCAAAGCCGCCCACCGCTACCGCACACCGTAATGCCGGATAGTTGAAAATCCTACCTTTAGGTATTTTCCCATCAGTAGCTACGTTCGAAGACTGTGTTTTGAGTAGAATGGTCCAAGAAAACCTTCTTCAGGAACCAGACATCTTCTCAATATTAAAACAAATTACATACAAAAATTAAACACAAAAAAAAAATTAAATATAAAAAGATAAATATAAAAATATAAAGAACACAATAGTAAAAATTAAACATTAACAAATTACAAAACCACACATTAAAATCAGGTCAAAACCAATTAACCAAAGTCAGAAGTCAACAATAACATTTGTAAGGACTACAGATTAACATTAATCTAAGATACTTGGTTATTCTGCCTGTATGATTTCAATAAGTTACTGTATACACTACTTAACCCATCCGTGTCAGTTTTAATATCCACTGTATCTCATACTTATGTGGATCATCTCACTCAGTTTTATTTTGTAACCATTCTCGAACTGCTGCTTAGCCAGTGCAAAAACAGTTCCTGAAAGACCACCCGAACATCATTGTGTGTAAGTCTGACAAAGGAAACTCAACCATCCTCATGGAAAAAACAGAATATCATCTGAAAGTTCTTGAAATATTAGGTGACACTGATACATACCAACTAATAAATCGGGACCCAACTAATAAGTTCCAGACAGAAGCAAACAGGATTGTCACACACTTGAAGTCTGAAGGTCTGATATCCAAATATGAGGAGAGAGAGTTGAAACGCCATAATTCTGTTTCCCCAAAACTATACTGTTTGCGAAAGACAAAACAAAGTGGCCTACACCTCCGCCCTGTGGTTAGCTGTATTAATGCACCTGGCTATAACTTGGCTAAGTATTTGCATAACACATTCAATCCTATAATATCCACCTTTCACTTCAACATCTCCAATTGACCTATCTTTTTTTACCTTGACTGCGCGCGCAACTCGTGGGTTGCAGGTGAGTGTCCAATGAGAAGCGAGTTTGTCACGGGCTTGCGTCATATTCTTATTCAGGATCCAGTTCAGAATTAATTGTTCCTTCTTTCTTTGTAATGTGTAATTCGACAAAGAGCAAACTAATACTTTACGTATTACTTCTGAACTCACCGCAGTGTTATGTCAGATTATATTTGACATATTCCTTTGCACTTTCATTGTGCGATGTTGCCCGATGAAACGTTTATCAAATTGAAAGTGCAAATGATGTTAAAATACACTTTGAAGCTTTTCTTTTGTCTGATTTAAAGCGTTGTAAAACATGTTGTAAAAAATCTCGTTTTATTGGTATAATGTTCGATTTGTATTGTCTAGATTTGTTCTGCTACAATACAACTGGCTACACTGCAACACACTAGTTGCGCGCGCATGTCATCTTTTATTACTTTCCAACTTCTCTTTATCACAATTAAGCTATCTTTTTCTATTTATGCGAGACAGATCAATTCCTTCCAATTTTCAAAAATAATAAAACAACAAAGAATACCTGATGATTATGTGCTGGTTTCCTTAGACGTTGTCAGCCTATTCATTAACATTCCAAAACAACTGGAACTCAAAATTGTTCAGATGAATCACTTTATCTCTCACTATACGGAAATCTCAAGGAAACAACTGATTGAAATTATTGGCTATTGCTTTGACACAAGTTACTTTGTTTACAATGGATGTTTCTACTTACAAAGGGATGGGTCTGCAATAGGCAATCCAGCATCACCTATACTTGCTATGAACTTTAGTTTAGTTTTGAACCACCTTATAACTGATGTACCTACTTTGCCATTTGCTATTCCCTTCATATTTGTTTATGTTGAGGACACAATATTGGCAGCTCAACAAGATTAGTTAGATTTGTTACTACAAACCTTTAACAGCTTCCATCACTCCTTGGAGTTCACAATGGAAGTAGAGAACAACAATAAAATTTGCTTTTTAGATATTGAAATACACCATAGAACAAATGGGACACTAGCAACAAATTGATGTTCGAAACCTACCAGCTCTGGCAGACTGTTGAATTTCCATTCAAATCACCCCATTTCAAATAAAATGGGTGTTATTAATGGCCTCTTACATAAGGCTATTCATTTCAGTGACCCAGAATTTCATTACACCAATATGGATAAGGTGAGAAAAGCTCCTTCAAAACAATAACTACCCGCCTAATTTTATCAATAGATATATCACTAAATTCCTGTCCAAAAAAGAGAAAGTGGGTGAACAGAAAATATATTTCAAATTCCCTTTCATTGATAGGTTTTCCCAGAAAATAGCGAGATGCTTCCAGATCTCTGATTTTTCCCTAACTGAGTGAGATGATCCACATAAGTATGAGAGATACAAAATGAATATTAAAACTGACACGGATGGGTTAAGTACTATATACAGTAACTTATTGAAATCATACAGGGAGAATAACCAAGTATCTTATGTCATACAACCCAAGAATTTGTTCATTATAATGTATTTTATTCTTAATGAAGTTGCGGCATTGAAAAACTATATTGATACACAAACGCAAACAATTATAATGGATTTGTTTTTTCAATCTTGCTAGATACTAGCTTCAGTGACTCTCATTTGTAGATAGTTTTCAAAATTCTGGGGATCGTTAGCAGCCAACTCTTCTAAAAGGGCATATGAGGTTTTTTGATTCAGGTACATCTGGGCTTTCTCCTGTTTCCAGCCTTTGATCACAATACGGGGTGCAATGTATCGGCATGTACTCAAATTAAATTGAAAGGAAACTGAATAAATAAAAATTGAAGATAAGTGACAGTGATCCAGCAAATAGTGATGATAAGCGTTTTGGGGCCTTTACTAAAAGGATTATAACCTGAGAAAAAGACAACCGATAAGGGCGTAAAAAATTATTAGTTCTACCAAATCAAATT